TAACTGTCTCAACTACAAAAATATATCAATTCAAAATATTTCAGTTTATCTACTTAAAATTTGTTTATTGTAAATTAGGTATGATCTCTTTATTGAAAAAATAATCAGTGAAAACAATAACCAATATATTCAGTGAAGGGTTATACAGTATTAGCTTAGAAAGGAAAAAAGAAAGAACTGGGAAGCATTAACAGTTGCAGCCTCAACTCTGCATTGTCCAGGGAGCTAGTTCCAGGTAAGAGAAGACAGCTGAGCATGGAAGAACTCCAGCCGTCAACGTCAGGTAAGAAGATAAACCCACTGAAAGGCCAAAGGGATATATAGAAAGTGTGAGAAATACCCAGACTAGGCTTCACAACAGTCTTACTCAGAGTGTTTAAAACAGAGGTGAGAGAAAGATGTTGACTCTTGCCGAGAGGTCTAGTGGGAGGAAAATGTTCAGTGGATTTAGCAACACAGAAATTAGTACTGACGCTTGTGACATCCGCTTGGGTGGAAACACAGGACCAGAAACCAGGTTCTAATTTGTCAAAGAGTGAGTGGCAGTGAAGATAAGAAGAAAGGGACTGTAGAACTCTCTGGTACTTTTTCAAGGGATGTGAGAAAGCACAATAGCCGAAAGGAAATAAAGGTACTACAAAGGCTTAATTCATTTCCAAACAGGCAAAGCTAAAGCATGATCCAGTTGATAAGGACTAGCTGAATGGATAGGAAAACACAGGAGTAAGTGACAGAATATGAAGTTCTGAGACATGGGGATTATCTATCCATCTATCCCAAGGTAGTTCTTTTTATCAAATTTTTATCCCTAATCAACATTTGCATACAATATCAAGTCAAGTTACTATCTGGGTGGAGTAAAAATTTCCTTTAAAGTATAATATTGTAGGTATCAATAACTAAGATATGCATATGTAGCTTAGGATAGGTTTACATATGATCCTAACAGTAATAATACTACCACCACACTGACATTTACTGAGTAGTTTCTGTGACCAATGGTCTACTTGT